TTATTATTATTAATTTATCCCATGATATAAAATTGAAATATAAATATGAATAGTAACAATAGGAATTTAATATTTGATATTAATACCTGTGATATTCAATTATTTGAAGTTATTCGTGAAGAGTTAGCAAAAAAAAAAAGAAAGATTTTTACATTGTTATAATTTTAGGGAAGAGATATGGTATTGGAAATAGTTGTATCAACAGACGGTATTGAGCCATTATTTTTTATAACATCTGATGATCTTACCTATCAAGCTCGTTGTCCATTAAATGAAGCTAAACGCTTAGGCCAAAATACCGATCATATTTCAAGCATTGAAAGGTGTGAATTATTCCAAAAATTATCACACGAAAATAATTAATAAATATTTCCTTAATAAATTACTTCGTAAAATAGCACTATTATAATTTAAAAAATATATACAATTTTTTGTATATGTTTTTCTTTTTGTTTTGCATGCCTTATTCTCATTTAAAATTTATAAATGAATAAATGTTAGTTTATTAAGCACAATTATTCATACCTTTTTTTTCATCTTGTATAGTTTCTTCTTGCATGTTGGTTGCATTGTGGTTTTATGCACCAATTTTTGCATGATGCATGTTGAAATGTTTTCAGTGATACAACAAATGATAATTTTAAAATGATCGCATCAGCACATGCATTATTTTCGATGTTAGCTAATGAAACCAAATATCGCCAATTATCGAGTATCAGCCAAAATTTATCTGTAAAGCATATTGTTACTACAGAGCAAAGAAAGAAGAAAATTATTGAAGAAACATTGCATTTGATTAATAATACTACTGATATTAATACTTTAACAATAAAACTGATCACATCAACACTAGCAACAATAATAGCAGCGACAACAGCAACAACAACAACAACAACAGCATCAGCACAAGCAGCAACCACAACCACAACAATAATAGCTTCTACTTCTATTACTGATGCTACTGCTATTTCTACGACAATAACAGCAACAACAACAATAGTACCAACACAAACAGTAGCTACAACAACAACAATAGCTTCTACTTCTATTACTGATACTACTACTATTTCTACACCAACAACAACAACAATAGCTTCTACTTCTATTACTGATACTACTACTATTTCTACACCAACAACAACAACAATAGCTTCTACTTCTATTACTGATACTACTACTATCTCTACACCAACAACAACAACAACTCTTACTATTGCTACTCCTACTCTTACTGCTATTGCTATTGCTGAAACTGTTAAATTGAAACCTGATAGCACAACCGATGAATATGATGAAAATACGAACAGTACTATTGGTCATTCAAGAAGTTCAACGAATTCGAAATTTGAAATTTATACCTCTATTACGAATAAAATTATTCCAGAAGAGATTATCAACAATGAAAATTCAGAAAAACTTCCAAGAATATTAGATGTAACATCTGCCGGACGAAGTGCTATACTTCCAGAAGTAACTTTAACTTCCGAAAATTCTGGAATATTTTCGAAAACAGAAATATTGGATAATTTGATAGCAACAGCAACAACAACAATTCAAAAGGGAAATGATGTTATATTGAATGAAGCAGAACGTAAATATTTATGACTTAAAAACTTTTTTCTTCATTAAATAATTTCAACAGAAAGTTTATGAAAAATTGAAAATTTTCCTAGATCACGAGTAGATGATTTTTTTTTACAATTATTAACAAAAATTTTAAATTAATTAAAAGATAAGATAAGTTTTAGCTTTGTGAAGCTTAAATTAATTAAATCTTTTTGTTTAACTTCACATCTTTCTTTTTCGTCGTTTTTGCATCATTTTTTTTTTTTGAAAAAATTTAATTTAAAAATATGTATCATTGAAGTGCGAAATACATTTATTATTAGCATGAAAAATTTTTGGCACGAAATTCAAATGCTTTTTTTTTGTGATCAAATTAAAATTTAGAAAAGCATGAAAGCACGAAAATTTCACCTATCAATGAAACCAAAAATTTATTTTTGGGGTCAAATAGTAGCACTTTGTTTACAAATTCACATATCACCACTCTATTGGTTCCTGGAAGTAGCAGTGTCACAAGCACGACATTTATTGATAGTAGTAGTACAATTAGCACCATCGAAGCACTTCCAATCATCTACGCAAGTAATGAAATAATCCATCGTCAATCAGTGTAAGTATGTCATTATTATCTTCAACTAATTTAAATTTCTAAAATTTTTAATTCATTTAATAAAAATTATAAGTTTTGTTTTTTTGTTCATGAAAATATCTTTTAAATATGAATTCTGTTTAAAATTTTATTTGGAAATTTTAGAACATTTATCAAAATAATACTAAAAAGTCGAAAATTATTAGGAGGATAAAAAATTATTATGTTTTCTATAAATGGAATGATTGATTAATTGATTGGTTCATAGTATTTTTATACTAAATTCAATTTTGTTTAAATATTTTAATTTATTAATTGGATTAGAATATTTTAGGTATAACACGATAATAACAAGCGATGATATGATAGAGACATTTTCATCAACATTGCCAACAACGATGGAATTTGTAGTACCAACGATATTATCAGATATTGAACAAAATTCAGCAAATACCGAAACTTTATCTTCATTGTCATCATTACCGTCATCACTATCATCATCATCATCATCATCATCATCATCACCATCATCAACATCATCATCACCATCATCAACATCAACATCATCATCATCATCATCATTAACAGCTACAACTATGGCTGATATTATTGCAGCTACAACAACGATAACATTGACGGAAATAACAACAACAACAGCAGCGACAACAACAACAGCAACAACAACATTAGCAACAACATTAACAACAGCAGCAACGACAACAACAATAACGCCAATTGGAACAACAGAGACAACAACAATAACAGCTGAAACAATAAGAATCATTCATGATCATCCAATTATTGCAACACTACAAGTACCATTATCCACTATTGTTGCAGAAAAAGATGATAATGATGTTTCCATTCAAAGCGTAGGAGAAATTGCTTCAACGAATGTTACGATAGGTTCATACAGGTAATTTGATTATTTCAAAATTCTCTGTCTTCAAGAAAGAAAAATTCAAAAACAATTAGTTTATAATTTTGTATTAAAAAGGATATGAGCTAACTGATAAGATTTGCTTGACATTTTCTATCTAAATAACATATATCACGCTAAATACGGATAACACATTCATCATCTTTAACGTGAACTTTTAGCGCAAACAAATCAATACCGCACGTGAGTGGAACAGGACGAGCAACAAAGGATGCCGTTATCTTTGATATCTTCCATAACGGACAACCAGTTGAAGCAGTGGTTGTCGGAAGTAAAATTACGCTTAGTTTTATTCCCTACTATGCTATTCCACGTAAGTTTGTGATTTGTTTTCTTGCAACATTTCAATATTTAAAATGAAATGTGAACAATCAGTAAAAAAAGTTTCTGTTTAATTCTTCATCAAATTTTGTTGAAATATTTTAGCGATATATATGAGCATAAAGGGATGTCAAGTTGAACCGATCGGATCACTTTATGAATGGGAACGAGAACCGTTAGCAATAATTAAGGATGGTTGCCAGGCGGATCATGTTGGTCTAGTTTGTCCACCACAAAAGACTGAATATGGTATCCGAGTAACTGCTGAATCATTCCGGTATCAGACAACTTCACGAGTACAATATTCTTGTCTTGTCAGGATTTGCCCCTTTGCACCATGTCCGATGGTAATGCATAAATTTTCATTTAGATCTCAATGATTTCTATTAATTTATATCAATTTAACAGATTCAAATTTATGACAAATTAATTAAGTGAAAAGAGTGACATAGGAAAAGTGTGAAGAAGTGGAAGGTTGTGGTGAATCGAATTTGTTATCTAATACATTTGGATTACGTTCCAAACGTCATATTACGATCGAAGAAATACGCGCAGCGCTAGCAGCAAATCCTGATTTACAACGGCAAATACGATTAATGAACCGATTCGGTACACAAGGTCAAACAACATCAGGTACTATACACTACTAATATTATCAACATTTCGTGCTACTTTTGTTTTTATTAGAAGAACAATGTTTAGTTCAGAGAAGGATGCATAATTTTCTAATTTGAGATTTGACAATATTGTTCTTTTGTTTTGTCTAGAAGCTTAACTTTCCACTGTAGATTGAAAATGAACTGTTAAAATTGTATGAAATACGACATTTGGGGCTAGTTTCTTCAATCTTTATTCCATGAAATGATTCTAAATTTATGGCCCATTTATGCCACTCATACGTTTCTAAGTCTCCGCACTTAAAATAACTGATGATACGTCCCGATAATCGATGATAATTTAGAAATGCAACAACAGCTGATTGAACTTGGAGGTGATCACGTTGTTAAAAAACAATTAGTAGTAGTGAATTCCGAGGATGAACTAAGATACTACGTACGGACAGGTGATGTACCTTAATCGAATGATAATACTGTTATTAAACATGCAAATTTCACAACATTCCACTGTTTATTCTTTTTAATAATCAATATTAAGAGTAATTTTTTGAACTAATTATAACGAAAAGTTTTTGAACGGATAAACAAGTCCATAAAGACTTATGCAAGCAACCTATACAACCTATATCTTTGTGAGAGGTAGCTCAACCATTAGCTGTATTTAGAAACAAATAATGTGATCTATTTGTTTTTTTGCTTTTTCAAGAAAAACACCAAATTGCAATAACACAATAATAAATCAACGCATTGTCATGCACTTGATAGTCTCAAATGTACTGTGCAAATACTGTGCAAAATTTAGCTCTTGCTACTGTAATTTATTACTGTATCGTTTTTTTCCTTTTTTGAGGAACAAATACATTTCAATATAGTGCGCTAAAAGCCTACAATTATGACTGATAAGTACGTATCCTGAAATACTATACTTAACTCCATCGCCTTTCGGCTTTCGGGTATTTATGTTTATTTGATGGTTATTTTATAGTAAGCCATCTTGTATAAATCAGTAATCATCGTATTAAGTGATGAACAATAAAGATGATAAGCTTTATGGAAATTTTGTGCCCTGCAACATACCTCAGGTACATCAATACTTTTTACACAGAAGTATAAGAAATAACAGAAAATGAATCGTTGCTATAAAACTCATGAAACTACCCGTTAAAATCTGCGATCGATAACAAGAATATCTGCCCAAAGAAATGAAAGTGCAAACTTTCTGCAATTTCAAGAAATAAGGGACAACTTTTAAGTTGTGATGTCATAGACAATAAAATGTTAAAACTCTCCATTATATTGTTTAAAACGTTCGATCACAGGTAATGTACTTCACGTACACGAAATTAAGCTATTATGATTTCGAAGCAGGCATTTTTAAACCAACAAGTCTGGAACTTTCTTCTAACGAACGCTCATTGCCCTAAAATCAAAAAAAAAAGTTGAAATTAAACATTCAGCATCTTAAGGTAGAAAAAACAATTATCTTTTTTGATGATTTCAACAAATTCAGATAGAAGTTGATGGTAGCACGCTTAATCAAACGTTGTTCTGTGTTTTCATCTGACAGAAATTTTACGACACATGTTGTCTTCGAAGTTATTTCTCAAAAACGCTTCTCATAAAGTTCAAATAAAAATTAAGCTAATTTACCTTATAACGTTCCTGCAATGCTTTCAAACGCATTGTACTGGACAGGTAATGGCGGTATGTATTAGAAAGATGTTCCTCTCTTGGTATATTATGTAACATACCATTTTTATCTTGCTCAGTATTTACTTTCTGCTTTTGCTTTAACGGTATTTTCGACTTTTTCCAAGCAAAATCCTGAAATACCAAAAACATCAAAATATTTCAGAACATATCACGCTATCTTAAAATACTTTGAAGTACTCCGGAATATCAATAAATAAGTTGGAATATCTTCAAATATACTAAAAAAGCATCAATATACTAAAATATTCCGAAGTTCCCGCGAATATCATGGAATATTCCAGGAATAGAAGATAGCTTACGATTCCAGATTTATGGAAATCTTCGATAACATGTTTGATTAACGAGGCTGCTGTCGTCCCATTCGTCCACTTTGCCATATTTGAAATTATGAACTTTTCAAACAACTGATCGAAATTGAATCACTGAAGCGTTGGCTGAAAACGAAATTGTTAAATTAAAATTAACATTTTGCAAAGGAAAAAAGTATAAGTTGCAAATTTGAAAATCAACCGAATGAGTCAGTTGAACTGAACAAATTTATAACTTTACCATTTCTTACAAAGTAACGCATGCTAAAAGCGTTAAACAGACGTGATGAAAATCATAACTGTTACACTTTGAAATTAGAAAAATATGTAACGTTTCGCGGGAGGTCGTTTAAAACGTTGCATGAATAATAATGACCGGACCGTGAAAAAGCCGAACCTCACCTTAAATGTCTCGACCTTTCCTCTTTAGAACCAATTCTAAGTTATCCATGTCTGCCCTTGTTGCTGTCTTTGTTTAGCTACACGACTACACGTAATGCTATCGAGGATTTTGCATTAATTTTCGCATCAAAAACTGAATGCGTTTTGAAGAGGTGGAAAGATTGATTAGAAAGTGAGTAACAGCAATGTCTAGACAGTGAAAGGGATAAAGAAATAACGTATAATTAAGAGAATCACCAAAGATTCCCTCTTCATTAGGAAAAGATTACATCACTAAAGATTGAGGAAATGTTATAAATACACCGGTTTTATAATGGTAGCAGTGATTGAAAGTAGAAGGAAGGGATGATGAGTAAAAAGAAGGCGAAAAAAGGAAAAATGCTAAAATTTACAGCAGGCAGTCATGGGAACTCCGATGAACTATGATTAATAGAAGCATGCGAAGTGTTGCTATGGGTTGCCAGTTTCAGTTTCAGGATTGTCAAACTGTTTCATAACAGCTCCGGTACAAAATTTTAAATGTAAGTGCACTTTTGGTTTCCGGCAAGAAACTATTCTAAATTCGAATTAATAATCATAGATGAAACATTGATGCGATGAAATTTCCTGCATAGGACATGTGTACTTATCACCATATGAAAAGAAAGTATTTCCGTCTTTTTGCTAATAATTCCGGAAGGTTTCAATTTAGAATGGCAAATAGCCCACCAGAAAAGCGTCGATGTATGAAAGATGAGAAGAAAGATGATGTTGATAAGACGAAAGATACGGGAAAAGATGGTGATAACGTGAAAGAAACGAAAAAAGATGATAATGATGATGCTGCGTTGCTGTCACAAGCTATGGATGAAGGAGGTATGAAAGATTTTTATTGGTAAACAGATGTTTAGAGTGACATTGTTTTCTGGACACAGATGGACAATGGATAAATATCCATTGTTTCCTATAAATATATTATAGCAGTGTTTGTTGATCACTGGAGTATCTTAACATAAATTTTCAACTTGATTTTTATTCTATTCTCGATTAACCAATAAATTTTAGATTGGATTGCTCCAACTCAGCCTGATAAAGCATCGTTTTTGTCGGATGCTTTGAGAGAAGGCCTACTGAAACAGTTTAATGAAATACCGTTTGCTGGAGATGCATATATGCTAACACAAGAAGTAAGATATCTTTTTCTTGCATTTTTTAATTCTTCAAAATCCTTTAATTTAAAATACATCGTAGTTTCCATCAACTTCGCCCAAGTTTTTATAGTAACAACAGTTTCAGTGATAGTGTTAGCTGGGATGAAGCGGTTAAAGCTACGGCAACACTAATAAGATCGGATGGAATAAACAAAAAGTTCTGACATCATAGATTATTTGAAGAAAATCAGCTTTCTTTGGTAATAAAGTGACACTACACTGAGATCACGTGATATTGCAGGTGGTCTTGATGTTATCCCAGGAAGGGCAAGTTCTCTTTGGAAAACAAATCTAATTTATCGGATTTAAAATTATTTTTTTTCAGATCAATAGGCTAAGAAAACAACTCAGTGATTCGCTTGGAGAAAATCAGATGCTGATATATAAAGTTAAAAATTTGAATCGGTGAATTAGTTTGTGAGCTTCATTTTTCCATCATAGAGAGTTCACTGATCTCTCTAAGTGAAGGAATTTTTAAAGTTTCATGTTCTATCACTTTTGATTTCTGCAGGGAGAACGCACTGCTGCAGGATAATCTGATTCAAATACATCAGACCTTCGAACAGAGGTTTCTTGAGCAGAAAAGTGACTTTGAAAAAACTGAGAGAGATATGCGCAATGTGATCACTTATCAGGTACGTTCGTTTCAGATCTAAAATTTTTGTTCATAGGAAATATTTGTCGTTTATTTTTTGAGTTACAATTGCTTTGGGATCATTCAAGCTTTATGTGGTTCATGATTTTCATGGAAGTGTTATTTGCGAGAGGGAGGAGGTAATTTTGAAATGCATTTTTGCGATGTATAGATCAGCCTTTGGCTAAATATGAACATTAAGAGATGCACTGAAGTTAAAGTCTCATTTTGTTTTTATAAGTGTCGAGCAAAAAACTTGTATGGACAGAATTGTGTGCTAGATTCCAAAATGTTTGCAGGAACAAGATTTAAGAACCATGGAATTTCGGGATCGTTTGAATAATTCGGCATCAGTCGCTGCGGAAATTGGTCATTCTGAGGTTTCTTTGCTTTTTAAGCAGCTGTGGAATTTGATTGAGATATCGAAAAGTTAATTTTGGGAACTATTCAATGTATGAATATATATAAATATGCAATTACGGTTCACTCCATCATTCAATATTCGCACAAGTTAGAAGGTGTCAATATATATTTTTTTTCATGTGAGAGAGGCAAGTGGCAGTGGACGTCAAGAATCACCCATAATTCGACTCAAAAAAGTTTCCATACCAAGCTTTCGACGGGGAAATTGTTTTCCAAGAACTTTGAATGATTCGCCAATATTACGAAAAGCTTTTACTCACTGCAAATTAGTCTTAAATGATACTTTCCGTGCAGTTGATAGTCAAGGAAAATGTATGTGTTTTGTTTCCCTATTCTCCATTGAGAAGTTTTCTACCATCTGGTTCATATCATTTTATTAATTTGATTTGCTTGGAATCATTCAATATTTTCTGAGATGAAATTTAGCTGTTAGCAATACTACGTTCAATCAACACGACAACAACGAGACAGAGGGTAATCGAATTATGCAAACTTCTCAGCAGAAAATGCAAACTTCAAGTCCTAATTCATACAATTGTCTGGCGTACCTTCGTCCAGACGTAAGTTTTTTAAATTGTGACTTGTCATTCAAATTCAAATGCTTTATTATAGCTAATTTTAAAATCATTTTTATTGCAGAATCAGCTTCCTCAACTTTATGGCACATGTGATGAATTGATTACACTGGGCTTCCGCAATATTTCTTCAGAGCTGTTAAGAAACCGTGAATTGAAGACGACTCGGCTTATGCGTGATATTATTGTAGAGCCACGAAAACGATGGTGCCGCTAATGGATTCTGTGTTTCGCTATTTGTTGATGTGAAACAAATATTTGACATATGTTTAATTTTGTTTCTATTTTTTGAATGTCACTTTTGTATTTAAGTTATTTTTTCTGGTTAATTTTTTTGTGAATTGCGACTCTTGTATTATACATTTCACATTACGGTGTTTTTTTACAGCTGTATTCATCCAGCTTTTTATTCACGTAATTTAGTGAAGACCAAAAAGCTTCCCACAGTGCAGTCAGTTTTTTTGCGGGTATTTATAGAATTTGTCTCAGGTGATGAAATTTCTCTTATTTTTTGAATTTGCTTTGAAACCTCATGTTCATAGTAAAACCCGTTCTTCAAATTACTGTTCATAATTTCAATAAGTTTCATGTTCTCTGTTCCTCTAAGGGCACCTGTTTCACACGTTCTGAACCATCTTCTTCCATCCGAGACCTATTGTTTTCGGTGCATATATGCACTTATTTCTTGGAGATGAGCCGAATGCTTTCATTCTTTTTCTCGAGTACCACTGTTATGGTGCTAACATGCACCGAAAACAATAGGTCTATCTGAAAATTTATATTGTCTATTTGGTTGCGGATTCTTTTCATGGAAAGTTATGATTGTATAATGGCGAATTTACTTCTTTTATCTTTTCTGCAGTGGATATATTTTTTGACCTTGTTTTATGTTTATTTGTTGCTCATTGCTTATATTTTTCCATTCAGTTAGTTCTTCTTGCATTTATGCATTTTACTCAGCGAAATTCTTGGTAAATGATGGCTCTTTGTGCCATCATTTATCATGATACCCAAAATAAATCTGTCTGGAAGCGAAGAAATGAGTTGTAGCGTAATTTTTTCTTCACAGTTACCGATGAAGACCCAAAATTATGACTGCTATGATGTAGAAATCTTAGTTGGTTTTCGTGTTGAGAGGATGCTAAGGATTGAACGACCATGTGTGTAAACTTGAATTTAATATGAGAATAAACTTTTTTAGTACATCTCCAAATTTATGCAATAGGGCAAAATACTGACAGATTTACTGGTGCTGAAACATGTACTATATATTTATTTTTTTAACTGTAAATATTTATTGATAGGATACTACTATGCAACATATTGCACTGCTCTTCACTAATTACAGACAATATTTGTCATCTTTGAACTTAGTAGTTTCGTTTGTGTGATGCATTGAGAAGAATTTACAGTTGTCCTCTTCTTTGACGTATCAGTGATGAACATTGTATTACACATACTGTATCCTGCAAAGGAAAAATTGCATCCTTAAATGCAAATCTATGAAATAATGAGAAGTTTGTAGGAAATTTCGAGAAAGAAAGAAAAAAAGAGTAGAAAGAACGAATATTTACGTACAGCGATCACTTCTGAAAAAAGGTATTCGGTTAACAGTGATTCGCAGCGATCAATCACCATCGAATGACATTCTGGCTGAAATTGTTTGTTTAAAAAGAAAACGACATAGTTTGAAAGATTTTAGAATTTTTATTTCCTATCAAATTTGCTAAACAAATTTCAGTGTATAAATATTTCGAACGTACTCCTTCAGCGGTACATGTGCAAGTGATACATGGCGTTATACGCTTTGTCCTTCCCAAATTAATAACTCGATGATCCACCACACAAAATTCTGAAACGAAATTTGAATTTTTTTGTAAGTTATGACTTGTTTAAATTGTGAGTTAAGAGATAAAACGAAAAGTATGTTGAAAATTTCACGTCGATCAAGCCATTCGTAAAGGTCAATGTCCGGTAATTCAGAACATTTCATTGGTGCATTCCTGAAATCGTATCAGCGCATTAATTTGAATAATAAGTTTCAGTTACGGATAGTAAAAGCCTTAACATATATGGACTTAAGCTTAATCGATTAGGACTTCTCGTCACAAATGGGAGTTCAATTGACAAGTGATTTCAAAATTAATGATAGCAAGCAATTTGGGGAAGGTAAAGTTTAAACAAACGTTAAATCGTCAGGCATAAGAAATGCATTCGGTTGAACGTGACGCGCATATTGACTGTTTGCACAAATAAGTTTACTTAATGTTGTTTTTCGTATTTCAGCTAATTGATCTGGAATCTAGATATTGCATCATATTCTTATAATTCAAGTGTTCTGGAACGAAAGTGGATAAATTATGGTTATCCATGCTTTCATATTTTTTATAAACCTTATCCGGAAGTAACTGATTATATGTTAAAAATTTACTCACTTTTACCTATGCTATAATCCCTATATTATCGTGCAACTTGTGGCAACTTTAAAAAATTAATTTAATTCCTTTTGCTTGTCGTACTTTCTAGCAACCATCAAATACGTGGGTACATTAGGAATATAACCTAAGTTATTGAGGTCAACTTACCACAGTTAGACATTACGTAAAATAGATTATATTTTAGGAAATATTCTAAATAATTTAATTTTTTATCTTTTTCCTCTTCTGGAAACTTTCAGTCTTTTTATGGAATCTAATTGTCTCTGAAAATGGGACAGGAAATGGAGAAATTGGGATATTATGCCAGAGGATGGATAATAAATGGCATTCAAAGCAGAAATTTATCTTATACATTCCAGGTATGAAGCCTGGGGACTTCAGAGTAAAAATAAATTAAAATGTGAATTAAACCAACCTAATAAAAACTAACGATGATAAATTCTTTCGTTAACTTTTCCTTTATCATAGACCATATCATTCAATAATATATTATTATGAAAGTAACAAACCTGGCGTAAACTTTGTTGCCGCATTATCGTTTTCGTAATAAAATCGATCGCAACGTTTTAACCGTTGAAATTGTTCGCCAATGATACATGTCAACATTGGTCCAACCAGCGCTCCTTAAATTTTCAAAAACAAAAGGAAAAAATTAAAGGTTATTTTAAAAATTATATTGAAATACATACAACATTGAGGATTTAGTTAAATAAAATAAATTTTGTTTGTTTTTAAATTAATTACTCATTTAGATTTCCATTTATTTTGGAAAAGTTTTTTCATATCAAACAAAAATTATTAATTTTCGATGCAAGTTTACTTTCAAAAAATTAAAATTACAAATTAGTTTTTAAAAAAAAAGAAGAAACAAATTGAACTAACCTTTGAGTGGTCTTTCCGACATGATACCTGGAAAGAGATCAATATCATCCACATGATCATAAACACTCCGTAATGCAGCTATCGTTCGATTATCCATGACGTCTCTTAAGTCATCAAAATTTCTTGCACGATGCATTCCACACATTTCACTAGAATATTTTTAAAAATTTATCAATGCTTAAAATCAATTTAATAAACTGATTTTTGTTAATCTTTTCAAACCTTATACTCATTTCTATTTTAATATTTGATTTAGAATTTCCTTCCTTTCTTTTCTCATTTAATTAATTTTATGTAAATTTAACCGATATGAATTATATGGTGGAACACCATGATCTCTTCCACGTTGTATATTAAGTGCTGGAAGATCCATTCCTGTATATGGATTAGCTGATCGTTGAAATAAATGATTACGTATTGCATCACTAATATGACGATCAAATTCCATACTAAAATTATACATCAATAATGTATGAAAAAATAAATTAATTTAAAAAAAAAGGTTAATTTAAATTTAATCTATTATTTGAGAATTTATTTAAATATCAAAAAATGATGAAATAAATAATTTACCTATGTGATCCAAGAAGGCCCATAATTACTGATTCAATATGTCCAGTTTCCAAAGTGTAATAAAATGTTTCATTATTGAATGAAGCCTGTAAAATATCATATCAGGAAAATATTCCTTTTATTTTATCAAATTAATTGATAAGAAACAAAAACAATGCTTACTTTTAAATCGATACCATTCGTTTCTTCCTGATATTCCGCATTCATTCGTGGAAATATGTTACGTATCAGTGAATGACCAAAACGAAATGCTGCTGTTGCCATTTCTTGCGTCATTGTCGCATCACATTTATTATCATATCCTGAAATTATTATTGCATTTTTTTTTTAAATTTAATTCAATATAAATAATTTATTCAAATATAATTTAATATAAAATATACTGGGGTTGAAATTTTGAAATTAAATGAATATTACAAATGAGTTAATTTAATTAAATAGAAAGCATAAATGAGATTAAAAATTAATACAACTTAATTACCCTTGTAATAGCCTGTTTTTCGTGGTACAAGATCATATCTTGCAGTAGCTTCACAACCTAACACAATTGGTAACCATTCGTTATAGATGATATGTTGTACTTTAGCGCCCATTATACGTCGCGTTTCCTAATATTATATTAATCTCTTAATTATTTAATTATTGTTTTAAATTTTTTATTTAAAATTTTCAATTTTCAATAAAAAATAATAGAATTAGAAAATTAATTATTACCAAATAAATCTTTTCATCAGACCAAAAATTATTGATACGACTTAAACTTGCTGCAATACGATTGTGTTCTCTGAGAAATAAGGTATGCATAACGGTAAGACCTGGTTGTTCATTACTACGTTCATCACCTGCATTAAAACATGGATGTTGTGGTTGTGATCTGAAAAAAAAAAAAAACAATTTTTAACTTAATTATTTTAATTTTTTGTTAATAAAAATTTGCAAAAAATTGAGTAAATTTTTATTCCAAAATAATTAAGTTGTTTTTTCTGCTCGATTAAGTTGTTTTTAAACTTTGAACTAAGAAGTTCTAAAATTCATGCCAAATTATTGTTGGAATTTTTAATTAATTATATGAAGCAAAAGAAAACCTGCAATCTCTTTCCTGTAGTCCTTGTGGTAAGGCTTCTCTATTGAAGCCAAGATCTGTAAAGTTCAATTGTCCTTGACTAAATAAACGTAGCTTATTTGCTTCACATTCCGTTGAACCATAGATAAATGAAGCATCAAGGTAAGAAGTTAATTGATCCAGCTAAAATTAATAATTGAAAATTAATGATTTACAGATAACAATAAAATTTTTTTTCGCAAATTTCATAACCTTCATTTTTTTTACCTTTAAAAAACTTTTACTGGAATTCGAAAAATAGTTATAATAAAAATAAATTTGTACCTGATTTCGATATCCAAGTGTAAATTGTCCTAGAAGTGATCTAGTAAATGCTATACATCTTGGTTCACCATTATCACGCAAATGTGGAAAATATGGATCACCACTTTCGATTGGTATCGGAAAACAATGTATGGAAACAGTTTGAGCTGAATCACAACGACTGCAATCCAAAATCGTATTTCCGGGTCCTGTTGATAATAATATATTATAATAATGATAATTAATAATGATAATAACAATAATAATAAAATAATAACAATAACAATAAATCGGAAGCTAGAAAATATAAAAATGAATTAAAAGTAAAAATTTTAAGAATTTATATTTCTTAGCATTTACAGGATACTATTTAAGATTATCATTATTATAAAGCATGGTTATATTATTAAAACAAAAAAAAAAAATCCCCTTATTTATTTTTTGATATTTTTGAAATGAATAAATATTCGAATTTAAATTTGAAATTAATTTATGAAACCTCTTGAAACTGGTGAATGTGCGAAATCATGATCAATTATTTGTCCCATTTGCATTAACATATGCGTATATTTAGCATGAAATAGCGGTGCTTCCGCATGCACAGCATTTGATACCTTTCGAGCCGACGGTAATTTACGTCTGTTATTACGACCAAATATACGTGGACTATCAAAACCTATCAATAATACGATTAATATTATTTATTTACCGCTATATCTTATATTTATATCATATACAATAAAATTTACTAATAATTTTTAAGTTTGAAAAAAATAAATTACCATCATCATAAACCGGATCCAATAAACGACGCATTGGTGCAAATGCATTTCCGTAATGTGGAAATTTCAAATTATTGCACCATCCAGAAAATGTACGATATTTGGTGGTATGATCACATGGTAATGGTCGTGGCAAGCATTCTTCCGTTGATGGATTTTCTTCGCCCAAAAAATCCGTAATATTTCCAACAAATCGTGCTATATCAATTTCAGGTAGTAAGCGTTGCAGCGTAGTCAAATCTAATTCTAACGGTAAACGTTCCTGTTCACTTAGTCCATCACTAAATAAAACGCTTTATATAAATTTTCAAATTTAAAATCAGAAAGAAAAATTGTAAGTTTTTCAAATCAATTAAATTTACCCTCTTAATAAAACTTTGGTTGTTTCTCGAAGTACTTCGGCACGATGTGAAATTTCCAATGATTCTTTTTTTGGTGCTAACAAATTTGAATGTGCATAAATTGCCGAATTTCGACTTCTACTTTGATTATTATTTCTTCCTAAATAACAATTATATAACATGAAGATAACAAAAATCATTTTCTGCAATTTTTCAAAACCTAAACAAAAAGCCGAAAATTAAATATACATTTTTTTCAAAATCAATTAACCTTGATTTCTAATCCGATCTGCTTCGGCTTCATTTAAACGTTTTGCATGTTCAGCACCCAATCGTACTGCTTTTTCTAATGTAGCCTTTGTTATTGGTAATTTAAGCCTAGGCTCTTGATCAGCCCATTGTGTTAAATCGATCGTATCAATTATCGTTGAATTACAATACATTGGACAATTCCTGCATGTAAATTCATCAATGGATATAATTAAATAAAAGAATAATAGAATAAAATTCTGATATTATTATTCAGGTACTATTTCCAATTTCCAAATATTATAATTCGCGAATCATTTCTATTTTTAAAATATCTTTTTTAATGGAAAAATTTCTTCCATCCATTCTATCACATTTTCTAAAATATTTCGGACAATTGTTAAATAATATAAATTTTTAATATAAAATATTTTATAATTTGATAATACAAATTTGAATATAAAAAAATATTTTATAATTTATTATATTTGAATTTAATTTTATAAAATAGATAATTAATAATAGTATTATTATTTACCCATAAATATCAGCAACTGTAAAAACATATGGTTGAATTTGTATGATATCATCAGAATTATCACATATTATTCGTGCTAGCGTTGTTTTTCGAATTTCTCCCAACTGTTCCAATGTAAACGCTGATGGTGCAAAGAAATTTTCATACCAAAAACGATCACCTCGACGAATCTTAATAAAATTATTAAAATTAGAATAAAAGAAAAATAATTTGCAAATTTAATTTAATTAAAAATTATTCGTCAGCTAATTATTGCCTTTATTTTTTTTAGCATTAATTAATTATTTCATATCTTTCTTTGTTTATCAAAAAATATATTTCTCTCTCATTTTATTTTCCATTTTAACACTATCATATTTTTTTATGAGTATTATTAATTTAATGATTTAAAAAGAAAACTGATTTAATCATTATATAGGTCAAGTAAAGTTCGTCAATGTTCAAGTTCCTCAAATTCCATTTAAATCAATTAAAGGGAATGTATAAAACTTAGGGATTAAATCAGAATATAGGATTAGTGAAATTAATGGATAATTTAAAATCTGATAAGCTAAAATTTGATAAGCAATTAATTTAATCTCACTCCTAACGGATATTATTTTATCGCTTCAATTATTGTGACTCACAAATTTGCTTACTAATTCGAAATAAAAGAATTTAAATTAAATGTAGAAGATACCTTTTGGAATTGTTTACCAATGATACATGCAAATGTTGGTCCAACTAATGCACCAAGTTCTGGCTTCTCAGCCATACCAAGAACAAACAAATCAACATCATCGATATGATTGTATAATTTAGCCAATTCATCCAAATCAAGCGATTCTAATACCTATAATTAAAATAGCTAATTGTTTAATATAACATTGCTTTGATATCATAGGCCCATTTTTCTTTGTCTTTCTTTCTTTACTATTATGATTATGTTTGGGCATTTAATAATTTTCGAAATACAAAAATATAATTAATTTTAATTCGATCATGAAGTTTAACTCGATCATATTAAAAATGCTAATCTTAACAATATAAATTTCGATTAAGCGTAATTAAACTTTTAGAGGAAGTTTTGAAGGATTTTAAGAAAATTACAATATCATCCAAATCGGTGAAATTAGTTGGACGTCGAAGACCACAAGCGCTTCGAAATGCAGTATATCCTGGAATTCCATGATCTCGACCCATTTGTATAATCATTGCTGCTAAATCAAGTCCATAATTTCCTTTACCACGTAGGAATTCATTTTTGAAATATTTATTCAGATGTAATCCAGGTTTACGGATTGTTTCACGTAATAAAAATCTGCAAAAAATTATCAGAATTTTATTAGGAATAACTAGTATTTAAAGAACATTGAGTATTAAATTTTTGTCAAAAATTTTAATGACGAAAAAAAGAATAATTCATTGATAAGAAAGGTATGTTTTTGATGATAACATATCAGAAATTAAATTTGTCACCAATAATAAATTTATTTAATCGATCAACGATTATTTAATCTTATTATTTTTGATTTTACTAATATCGGAAATTAAATTTAACCGATTAAATGCTTATTTTAATTAATTTAACTTGAAAGTTCAGCAAATGATTAATTAATTTAATTTTAAAATTAACTTGCAAATCTGATCAATAATAGCATAATGTAAACAAATAATATAACACCTTAAAATGGCATCCATTTTACCATTATACAATAATCCTGGATCATTGAGAAGAGCACTCCAGGATTTCTCGGTTTTCCGCTCACTTTCACTATCCTCATAAAGAAATACCGGATCAGAGAATAGTGAATAATAGAATAATCCAACCACAGATGCATATTCGTTTAATACTGTTGCATCAACTTTCTATAATACAGTTAATCAATAACTTATTATCAGATATTATCTTCAATCAAAATTACATCATGTGTTAATTTAAAATTGACTGAAAAAAAAAGAAAAGTAAGTATAAAATTTGAAGAATTAAAAAATCCCTTAAATTTCCCAAATTTAATTTACCAAATCATAATCACTATCATAATCATTTAATCGTAATTTAATTCCATATTGTCGTAATTTATTTTTTCCAACAATAATTGGTAAAAATTCATTATATGTAATATGTTGAATTTGAGCAACAACAATTCGACGTGATTCTTGAAATAATTTCTCATCATCCCAATCAGCATTGATTATCTAAAATTTATCAATAAGAAATAAAAGAAAAAAAATAACAATAGCAAATATTCTAATTTGAATTAAAATTTAAATGAATACTAAAATTTGATATTAGAAATAAAATAATTAAATGGTAATGTCTTTTTTTTGAGTGATAAATAATATCAGCTTTTCTTTTGAATATTGAAACTGGAAGCAGAAAAATTAAAGGTATGATATTTTGATTGAATAATTTTGAAGTTAAATTTATCATTTATCAAAATTACTAATTACATAAATATTAGAATGAATTTAAATTTAATTGAAATTCTAATATATTCATTTCAAAAACATTTACCAAAATCACTAATTGCATTTATCGAAATTACTAGTTACCATTTATCAAAATTGTTATCATTTATCAAAATTGCTAGTTATCATTCATCAAAATTACTAGTTATCATTTACCAAAATTACTGGTTATCATTTATCAGAATTACTAATTTTCATTTACCAAAATTGCTATTTATCATTTATCAGAATTACTAGTTTTCATTCACCAAAATTACTAGTTATCATTTATCGAAATTACTAGCTATCATTTATCAAAATTACTAGTTATCATTTATCAAAATTACTAATTACATTAATCAAAAATTACTAGTTATTTTTACATATTTCACTTGTTTTTTCTTTCCGCAAATTTTCTTTGTCTGAATAAAATAGGCTAACTTTTAATTGCTTAGCAATATCATTATGTTGACGTAACCAAATCGTATGCAATGCAGTTTGTGACGGAAATAAATTTGTAAATTTACCACCCGATAAGAAACATCGCTGTGTGCTTCGATTAGTCGTACATGTATCATCATTATTTGTTGCTGATAATAAACTTTTAGATCGTGAATTTTGTTGGGTTAATAAAAAACCTGTAAATAAAAGAAAAAAATTTTATACATTTAAGAATGTTTATGATAATTAATCTGGCAATACCATATAATTTAAAATTTCAAAATTTTAAATAAATATTAATTTTAATTCTTTCTTAGAATAATTACAAAATTTCTATTCGTCTAATTTTTCCTCCAAAAATATTATTCCAATATTCGTTTACATCAAATAATAATATTGAATTTATACATTTAAAAATGTTTATGATAAATAACCTTTCTGATAATTAGTCTTTATTAGTGATAATAATTCTTTATGATAATTAATACATATGAATTAAAATTGATTTCAATTTTAATAAAAGTATTTACGTAATTAAATGACAGAAGTTTTTTCCTATGTATCCCAAAAAAAGAAAACAATAACAATAACAAATTTATACTATATTTTCGAAATTTTCAATAGTCTACTTTAATTGATGAATATGATTAAAATATAATTAGAAATGTTAAGCAATTAATTATAACCAACCATTTCGATATGAACGAAGTTTACTGGCACGTTCCACGGTATTACCATATATATGACTAGCATCCAGGTATGATGTAGCTTGATTAACTTGCTCCCGTGGACCAAGTGAACAATTCTCTCGAGGTGATGTTGATGTACGTACATATGGTAAGCATCGTGTTAATTCTATAATAATTAATTACAATAAAAAATTAAAAAAAAAAAAATTAAATTGTAAAATATGACAAATAAACAAATACTACTATAACAAATACTACTATAAACTATAATAAACAAACAAATAATATTAATGCTAAAATTTTGATAATAATTAATTAAACAATTGAAGTGAAGTATTTATTTGAAAAATAAACATTCATGAAATTGAATTAATTATCAAAACAATTACTTGAATAAGTGGTATCATTATCATCAATTTCAATTGGAAAACATTCTGGATGAGTGTATTTCTCGTGACAGCATGATAATGATTTTGATTGATTACCTAAAATTATTAAATTATTATTATACAAAATAATCATTTAAATAATAATTATTTTTAATAATTTTCGAAAACTTTGATTATAAATAAAATATTTACATATCTATTTATTGTGATGTAATTTTAATTAATTAATTTTAAACAAATGATTATATTTGTTGAAAATTTACATTTTTTTTCTCTCACTTAATTTTTATCATTGAAAATTAATGAACCTTCATAAAGAGTTGTTATACCAGCATGACTGATATCTTCATAAATAAACATTGCCCATTGAGCAATCATCATTGAACATGAGGTATGTCGATCAATTGATTCAGTGATAAGATTATGTGATATTTTTCGAGCACTTGGAAGTGATGAACCATTTATTGAAATACGTGGTTTTGAAATTTCTATAATTTAGTAATTAATGATTTTTTTGAAATCGTTTAATTTTTCAAAAATATAAATTTTTGCAATAAATATATTTAATATTGCATAAACTATAAAATAATAGTAATAATGAAGAAATGTTTTAATTAAATAATTCGATGTTTTAATTAATAATATAAATATTATTATTAGAAGAAATATAACAATCGTATTTTTAGATATAAAAATTTTCTTACTGTCAGCATAATTTGGTATTAGGAAACGTTGCATTGGTTCAGATGAAGCACCCCATAATGGATGATTAACATTATTACAATGTCCAGAATAAGTTCGATATTTAGCTGATGGACATTCTGTGACCAAATTTACTGGACATATGCTATTTATTGTTGTATCACGAAGATCCATTATCGGTAAACCGTAAAGAATTTGTTCAGTTGTAAGACCAAAACTAAAAATGAATTACTCGCTTAATAAAATTATCATCTACTAATAATGCAAAATGATAAAATTTATTCTTATCAAAGATAATTAATTAAGTGTAAATATTTTAAATCAAAAATAAAATTTAAAAATATATTAATAATATGTTTAGAATTTTAAAACTCAATAAAGCTTACCTGTGTAATTTTTCAGTTGCAGCAATGGAAATTTGTGATGAATAAGAAAGTTTTTTGGAATACGGATCAATTTTATTTATTGCATTCCATATTATCTCTGCTGGTTCACCATCAAATGCTATAATTTGAAATCAAATAACTTATCAACTTATCGATTATCATATTATTTGAATATCAGGCATCGAAATGAATTCTATAAAGTACATTATCAAAATTATTTTGATAAGTTCTTGATATTAATACTATAGTATGAGATAATGTAAGCTATTCTTAGTAAATTTTTTCGCAGATATTTTAATATTTAAATTGAAATGTAATTGCTAAATCTTTTATAAAGTATTATCATTTTTGTAATTTAGCAAGAATTACTTTACTTAATTCAATCCTATTATTCGTCTAATTATCTTATCCTAATTTTATTCATTCCTTTGTTTTTCTTCATTTTCATATTTTCAAATTTGGTAAATTTATGATTAAATTTTCAATCAATACATTTTCATTATTTCCAGTATCATTAATTAAGAATTAATTATTCGCTTTTTCATCATTACAATGAAAATAATTGAACAGTTACTTTAAACTTATAACTGAAATGATTAAATCAACTAGCTAGATTTGCGGAAATATTTCCGATTGAAGTGATATTTTATTTAAAAAAAAAAAAAGATTAAGAGGGTAAACTGATAAGGAATGATTTTGATAACAGGCTTTAAGCAAATGATAATGTATGATAATTTGTTAAATGATTACAATTTCATTATTATCTTATTTTAATATTGGCTAAATTCAATTAAAGAAATAAGAACCAATTTAAAATATTAATTTCAAAACAAAGGATTGATTCATTTTATCATGCTTTTCAAAGTTATACCATTTGTGCTTTTGAAAATTTTAATTTCAGTCTGATTGAACAGAATATCAATTTCATCTTTTGCTTCCCGTATAGCAGCAATAATATTTTGATGATCGATTAATTTACTGATATTAATATGACGTCCTTTAACTTCAAATGGATTTCGTTGAATTTTTTCACTTTCACCTGAAATAAATGTATAAATAATATTTTGTAAATTCATTAGGAAAATTTGTTTAGAAAATAATTAGAGGAATTTTTTTAATATATTTTAAGTTTTTGGAATTTAAAAAAGAAGAAAAATATAAATAAATGTTTTAGCTTTTTCTTCGTTTTAAACAAAAATAACTTAACTTTTGAATCTAAATTTTTGATTTTATCAATAGTAGCGATTATGAAAAATAATGATGATTATGAAAAATGATAACGATTATGAAAAAATAAATAGTAACGATTATGAAAATGATAACGATTATGAAAAATGATAACGATTATGAAAAAATAGTAACGATTATGAAAAATGATAGCGATTATGAAAAAATAGTAACGATTATGAAAAATGATAACGATTATGAAAAAATAAATGATAACGATTAACGATTATGAAAAAATAACTGATAGCGATTATAAAAAAATAAATTGTGGCATAAAAAAAGAAAATTTTGAACTGATAAAACAAGGTAGAAGTAAATTAAAATGAAAAAGAAATGGAATTAATGAATTATTGAAATTTTAATAGGAGACTTAATAAATTGCATAAATTTTTAAAACCAATTTTTAATCCATTTAAATTTATCATAAATTGACTACGGCTGTCATAAACTTTAAATTATAGTAGGATGACATATATATAAAATTTAGGGAAGCTAATCTGATCGAAATATTTGTTGTATTAAATTTAAATTTTACGTCAAACACGACTAAAGATTCCTTTCTTCATTTTTCTCCATCATATTAGAAAAAGCTTATAAATAATGATTCTTTTTTTAAATCTAGTAAGTTAATCAATCTATTTACTGTTAAGATCATCGAACTATCTGATCAATTTTCATAAACTTTTCAAGATTACTGATAACAAAATTATGCCGCAAATGAAATAATGGAATTTCATGAAATTTTCAAGATTACTGATGCTATTAGACACAATCATACTGATAACAAAATCATGCCGCAAATGAAATGATAAAATCTAGAAGCCTTCAGTACTACTGAATACTGGAAATGAATAAATACTTAAGATGTAGATTTATCAATTAGTTTTTAAATTTAAATTTTTAAACATTACAGTACAAATCATTTCAGGATTTGCAATTTGCAACAAATTATTGATTTGTCAATAATTTCAAAATAAATAAAAAAAATTTTACATTAATTTTTATTTTTCGTATTCTTCGTTTTTGATTCATAAAATTATTACTGATATTTTTGATAATATTTTTGATAATCAGTATGAAAAAAATTCTATACCTTTTTCTTAGTCTACCTAATTCCATTCAAATTTTCGAAAATTTCATTTCAGTAAACAAAAAATCAAAAATTCTTACTGGTGATATTTGATGTAAGACCAAATGCAAGTGCTGCAGGTGAACATGGCGTAAAACTAACACCACACGGAATATTACTACGACGTTGACGTGCATGAATATCATTACCATAAGCAATAATTTCATTATTTATTAATACGTGTAATAAAATAAATAATGGTGGCATCATTTTGTTCAATTAAGTTATATACCTGAAGGGGTAAAAACAATCAAAAGAATTATGAACAATGACATATCATAAAATTACAACAAGAGAAAAAATTACAACAAATTACAACAAAATAGATATTCTATTTTCTTTTTTTCTAGCTATTATCAATATTTCACTATCATCAAATATTTGATCGTTTCATATTTGACTGGATAGTATTTGATTGTAAGAGGAAGAATGGATAACCTTGATGATACATATATAATATTTATATTGACAGCTTTGTAATCGACTATTTTTTTTGAGTTTTAAACAGAGAAAAAAATGTTTGTGAAAAATGCAAAAAATTTGATGGGAAAAAAATAAAAAGCTTATTATAGTAATAATTATTAATGCATAATTTACCTTGGAATATTCTTCTCAGGTAATCAAAATTATAGGAAATATATTCATAATATCTTTGAACAAAAAGATTCAAATTCAACAAGCAATTTTTGGTTAATAAATTCTTTTCCTTTTTGTGATGGAAAATTTAAATTTGTTATTTATGAAAAATTTTAATTAATATTAAATTATCAAAATATTAAATGAAAAATTATTATTGGATAACAAAAGTTTTTTCCAAAAAAAAAAAAAAAGTTGAATTAAAACAAAAGAATTAAGTGAAAATTTATTAAATTACTAATTTTTGTAAAAAAAAGTGGAAGCTAAACTAATTAAAGAAATAAAAATAATTGCAGATGATTAGTAAAATAGTATGCAAAATAAAAACAATGAAATGAAATGAAATCATAGTTTTCAGGTTCCGGATATCCATCTTGAATATATATTACAATTTATTTTTGTCATATGAAATAATATATTCAAGTTTAAATGAATGATTTAAAAATTTTAAATAA